CATATCAAACTTTAAAATGTTTTACTTAGACTGTCCAATTAAGCCAATGCTTGAAATTTAGATATAATACCTATGATAAATTTACATTTAAAATATTTAGCTATATTTAAATGAGTACACTTCCTTATAATTTAAGGAAATAGAAATTTATAAACGGGCCTGAAGAAGTGAGTTTAGAAGTTGGGTATTTATTTTTTGTTTATTAAATTGAAAGGCGGGTATTCTTCATAGTGAATTTAAATAAACTGATTATTTATGTTGTAAAAAACTTACTAACAATGTTGTTAATTGTTCTTTCTGTAGTGGTTAATGATAGTATTTAATTTAAATTTTACATGTACAATACCATATTTTAGGTGAAATACACTATTTATACTAAATCAGATCAGACACAATTTGTAAATATTTTATGAGAGTGAATGTGATAATGTTTTAAGTAAAACATAATGGAATTTAAACCTCTAAAGCCTTGGTGAGAATTAACTTTAATTTGTTATTTTTCATTAGTCTTCAATAATGTATGCATTCTACAGGCAAAACTGGATATAATGCCTAACATCAGATTTTTCATACTTCATTGGCTTTTGTTTTAATTTGGAAAAGTGCATTATGTCCATTTTGACTGGGTTATAGAAAAAAATATATAAAAAAAGTACATCAGTATGTTTTTCTGTTGTGTAGTTAGTACATTTACACAAAAAATTCAATATATAATCCATTTCCATAACAAAAGGCTAACAAGTAACGCGTTTTGCTCAATATCTTAGAACTATGGTTTTGGCTTATAATGCGTTCTTCCGAATCACGGCAGTGTTGTTTTGCTGTACTGCTCAGCAAATTTCATTATTACCAATAAAACTGATGCGACTTTTATATTGTTTTTGCGTGCATTTCTTTAGGTCTGATTATGTTTTTCCAAGCACACATTCTTCGCTGGGAATGCCACTTGCTGGTCAGCAGTAGTTGTAAACAGAACAGGTCGTGCCCCCAAAAACTCTGCCTGCCCGCCAATTGGTCCATTTTCGTGGGGTGTTTTACAGATTAGACATGTGTTTCGGCTGTGATGACGTCAGATCGCCCAAAGTTTCATAGTGTGTGACAGTAACAAGCTCGGTGTATTAATCAAGAATGTTTTAATTGTTAAAAACAAATTTATAAAACAAAACAAAAAACAAATAAGAAACCCTCATGTATATTTTAGAGTCAAATCTAAATAAACCTAATAAATTATATTTTATTCTCAACAAATTCCTAGGTAATTAAATTGGCAACATGTTTTGAAAAGCGTATTGAGTTTAAAGAATGAATAAGGTGCATTTGAAATTTACACCGACGAATCTAACAAATTTGAATTAGACGTCTACTGAAAAGAATAACCAGTAGAAACTTGCTTTGTTGAGTTCCGTCTTTATTGCAGGTTGATTCCATATGGATTTTAAGGATTAAAAGCAAGAATTATACGCTTATGAAAACATTTGAATGTGTAAATTTCACTTCATAATTAACCAACAAAACGTCTACTAGTGTGTCGTATTAATCAACAGATAATCTCCATGGCAATGCGAGTACAGCTAAGCGTCTCGTTTTCACAGCGTCTGGTATGCTTGTGTTAAAAGATGTCTATTAAACTATCGTCTGGTTTTTCGAGTGAGTGTTACCGTCCTGAATTGGACAAATCGTCCAAGATTTAGAATAGGGAGTTCATGTTTTCGGAAAGTATTTTATTAAGAAAAGAATAGGAATGACTTTAGGACTTAAGAAAATGTTCAGTTTTGCGTGAAATTCGATTTTGTGGGCATTGAGTGCAAATATTATTGTTCTATGTTAATTTTTTTTTTTTTTCGAAAATGTGCAAGTCGAAATCTGTATAACTCAAAATTTTTATGCCAGTCCCATTAGATTCGACTTAGGCGAACTCGACTGTATATGAACATTGATAAAACTATATTAAGATTATTTTATAACTCTGTGATTATGAGTATTTTGAGGTATTGTTTTGTTTGTATCTTTTGAAATATGACCCAGAAAGACATAATGCGCATAGAGAGAATAAACAAAAGAGCAAATCAAATTATTGGTGATAACATGATGAATCTGGATTCCGATGATGACCTATGGTCGAAAGTACTAGTACAATAAATATTTTATTTTTGAGACAGATACAGAACTTTGTTTGACTTCTTATTTTATATATACAAATCTGTCTATGCAGCAACTCTATATTTATTTGGATATATATATATATGATGTATATATATACATACATATATATACACACATACATATATATACACACACATATATATATTCTTACATATATATATATATATAGAGAGAGAGAGAGAGAGAGAGAGATTATATAAATACAAGAAACAGAAAAGAAAAAACAAAATGGGAAATTAAATGAGATTTTTGAAGGATTGTAAGGAAAATGAATGAATATTGCTAGGAAGGTCTGATGATAGATTATTCCATAATTTAACAGAATGATATTTAAATGTTCTTTTTCCAAAATCATTTTGCCATTGTGGTAAGACTAAAGTGTTTTTCATTTTAAAAATGTCATTAAAAGAATATTATGTTCCCATTGTTGGTTTACATCCTTCCAGTTAAGAGATTCCATAAGGTCATTAACAGGTGTTCTAATATCAGCATGCAAAATAATTCTGGCTAGTCTATTTAGTAAAACCTGAAGTGAATTAAGGTGTGCAGCTGTGCAATTGGACCATACAGTACTACAATAATTGAAAAAAGGTAATACAAAAGAATTTGCTAAAAGTCTAAGAGAAGAATTTGGTAAAAAATATCCTAATTAGTATTTAAAATTATCAACTCTATCAATTACATGACTGTTTATTGACAAGGAGATATTTCAAAATTTTGGGAAATTGAATTTTGAACAAAATACCATAAATTTTGTTGTAATATAATTAATAGTTAATTTATTTACATTAAACCATTTAGAAATATTGGCTACATTTTTGTCAATGATAGATTGTAATTTGTTTGGATCAGAGGCAGAACAAAGAACACTAGTATCATCAGCAAAAATTGCACATTTTGAATCAGGAGTGATAACTTCAAGCAGGGAGTTTACATATATAATAAAAAGAAGGAGGGCCAAGAATTGATCCTTGAGGGAATGAATGATAATACACGTCCACTGTACTCCCATTTTACCCATAGTTACTCAGGTATCAGATTAACTCCACCTATATCAAAAACTAAGAGGTTTAGACAGTCTTTTGTACCCAATTCTATCCATATATTTAATAGACGTGCCAAAAGGTGATTATCGTAATTCTCCATCCCTGCTAATTTTTTAATGGAATTTTCTTGCATACTGCCTATATGTATATGTATATAAATGCAATAATTTTATACTATTTTAAACCTGGTCTTAATCTTTTTAACATAAATACAATAATTTTATACTATTTTAATGCATTTTCTGCTGTTTGTCTTTTATCTTCGTCCTGTGTTTTAATAATACAGTATATCTTAATATTTTTTACTGTCTTTTAATGTTTATATAGTTCCAACATCACTTAATACTTATATTTATGTTTGATCGCTTAGCTTCAAAACACATTTCTGTTATATTCATGTATAATAGACTGAATAAAATGAATTAAATTGGCTGGCATTGTATAAAGGAAGTGTGCACATCAATGGGAAAAGAATTAGATAAACCACACTGTATTACTGCTACCAAATTTCGACATCGTGTATCTACCTTATTTGCATTACTTGATGTTAATGAAGGCAAGAGAAGACTTTTTTACAAACACATGGGCCATGTGCCAGACATTAATCAAAACATATTCCAGTGCCCTGTGGCACTAAAAGAGATCACGACCATACATGGTTCCTTATCTAGGGAAGTCGGTCCAAGAGATTTATCAACTTAATTCTGTATCAAATTTTACAAGTTTATTTAGCATTTTCAATAATGATTCATTTACATTATTATACATTTGTAATTTGGATTTTTTTTTCTTTTTAGAGCTAAGCTGATTTTTTTATTTTGTTTTGTATTTTGAATTTTGTGTTATTTCAACAGTTTTTGTGGCTACTGAAAGAAGCTACTATGTCATTGAATGGTTTGCCGAGGTAAGTAACTGTGAATCTCGGTACCAGTCAGTACCAGTCGACACCTTTGATCACGAGCCGACTACCAGTCAACGCTCATAATTAATCAGGTGAATATTTCCGATAAAATGCAGGAGGTTACCGTCAAACTAGAAATGAAGTTAACTCACTGATGTATGTCAAATATTTTAGTAATGAATCATGCCGTTCCCAACCCCTTTACCAGCAAACCTGTCGAGGCAACGCAATCGACGGGTTAACAAACCAGGTTTTGCCAAAGCTCTATCTATCCATGATCTAAACATCAAAGCTGATCTGACACTGGGAAAAATCATTATCACAGCAGGCCTTGGAATTTGTCAATTGATCATCAGTGATGTGTTTTGATTCGTGCATCGGCTGAGAGTTTTAGAATTCGTTTTTCATGTATTTTAAAGCAAAATTATGCATACAGTTGTAACTATAAATAAAAATCAATATACCTACATGTTCGAATCATGAAAAAAATCGATGAATTCTACGAAAAGTTATTGTAAAATCGGCCAGGCCTTTGACTCCCCACTCCGATGTTACGAATGGCGTATGAATATACTAACATGACGAGTGCATTTTTAGTCTTTACTCATTCTTGGCGCCTAGAGGCCTGGACTATGTATTTTGAATGTTTTATAAGCATGTCTATTGAATAAAAATAATCCAATACAATTTTAGCGGGAGCAGCTGTTTTTTAACCCATCAATCAAATAAAAAACTACTTTCGTGAGGCGTAGTGATATTGCTGCATGATACGCTCTGCACCCACCAACAAGCAGAGTTACGTAAAGGTAGGGCGTGATTAAAACTTTTTCTGTGCAAGGCGACATTTTCTGCCGACCTTGTGGCGAAGTAGTATGTTTTGCTAGATTTTTTCCGTAAACATGGTAGAAAACATATGCGTTGGCAGCCGAGTTCAAGCATTAGACAGTTTAGGAAGGTGGGAAAATGCATGGGTTGTAGCAAAATTAGACAACGGCAGCACTAAAGTGTCTTTTCCAGGATGGTCTTCGGAATGGACCGTGAGGTTGATGCTGATGACATCCGGAAACCAATTCAGCCTTTAGATGAACAGTTCAAACGTAAGTCGAGTCTGTATTTGTTTTAACTATGAATAAAGTTTGTCTTATAATTAGTATTTTGTGAATCGTATTGAAAATATTATGTTGTATGTTGCTATATCTCGGTATGGCCACAGCAGTGTTGTATAGTATTAGTTTAGCCTAAGCTATTGTAGCCCTAGGCAGTGGGGAACGGAATTTACTAGAGGGCGATCTGAACAGTGATGATTTTTTTTCTTTTTTTCTCGGTTTTTATTCAACTTTGATGGACTATGTCTATGCTAGGTGAACACGGATCAGTGACGAAACAGCGTTTTTCCCTTTACTTAGGCCTCTACATTGCGGCCGAACTCAAACTGCTTAGCCCTAGAATAGCCGCTGGTTCTCCATTCGTCTAAGGCTAAATGGCCTGGACGAGGAGAGGGCTATGACCAGCTAGAGTGGTAGATTCCAAGCGTATTAAGTAGATATTTCGGGATCAAAAAACATTTCGGTCGTCAATAAAATTGGCTGCTGAATAATTGCAAACAATTTAGCCTAGACCTAAACACCTCCCCCCCCCCCAATAACCATGTCTTATTAAAGATGTAGGGACTAGCTAGGCCAGGCCTCCCAGCCAAAGCTAGCACCCATTCATTAAATACTTCTTAACATCCATAACCAATGCCTGATCAGTGGATGATTTTACTAACCAAGATCCAAGTAGACTGTTTTTATACCTTTATTAATACTCTTAGTTATAACATTAAAAGTGCCCAATTTAAAAAATCTCCTTCCTATGAAATTTAGAAGTAGGCACTAATAACATTATTTCAAATTTTTAATTATTCATTTTGGTAAATTATTATGTTAGATTAACAAAGAATAATAGGTTAAACAAAATTTAATATAATAGTTGGAAAATACCATTTTAGTTAAAATGTAAATTTAACCTAAGTATGTATGATGCATTGAGTACTACCGATATCAGTCAGGCTTACTAAAAATCCAAATGTTTTTGTTTTCAGAGTGCGCAGAGCGAACTGGTCGCAGAAATGTAGCAAAAACGAAGGCTACAAATGAAAGCACTACGACTGCTAACTTCAGATGATGATGTGATAGTTGCAGGTGAATCTCTGAAGGTCTGTCAAATAGACAGGTTTGGTCAGTCTCTACTTACAATCAGAAATGGAAGTAAAGAAAGCACTGAGATCCAGATAGAAGAAGAAAATAAAAGCGGTAAATTGTAAACTATTTTTTCAACTTTATATCGATTAAATTTATAAGAACATAAATTTAATTTGAAAATATCTTTAAATCCTAATTTGGTCTATTAATTTTTTTTGATAAATTTTAATAATTATGTTGCATCAGTTTGTTTTCGTGTTCATTTTAAAACATTTTGTAATTGATAACAGACATTTATATTTTTTGTAGTTGCATAAAAGAAATTCAAAAAAAAAATAATTAAAAGAACAAATAAATTCTCAATAGAAATCTAGCAGGAAATCTGTAGAAATTTGAAAAACGTCAAACTAACATAACTAAACGATCTTAGCTGCAATAAACTCTATTGAGTGTGCGTATTAGTGAGATTACACAAATAGGTTTTTAGGAGGCAAAATAAACATTATGCTTATCCACAATTTTCACAAGTATTTGCAGATGTCAATGGGCCGATTCGGACGAGTAAAATTTAACTGGGTACCACCAGCTGAGCGGTCGCGTGCGGCAATTAAATAATGCCCCTGGGTATAGAAAATTCGAAAAACATCTGGCCCAAAAACCCACCTTTTTTACTGGATATTTCAATTACACCTTGCCTCAAGGCGTAATTAATCACCCGTAACAAGGCCCAGGTCACAAATTGACCCTTCAGATTTGTTAATAACGCCAGGTCAGATTGCACTGGACAAAAAGAAGCTCGCGACCACGCAGCATGATTCTTCGCGTTGTTGCCCAAGTTTTCTTTCCACGCTGGTCGTTGCCTTCGTCGTTGCTGTACTTTCTTCGTCAAAAAGCTTGGTTTAGATCAAATCCGTCGTCGAGAAGCAATATAAAAGTCGTCACTCAGGTCACAAACTATTCAGAATTCTGACCTTGCAGAAGCTTGTAAAATACGTAACTTCCGTCAAATTAATGGGTAAATGGATTGTTATTTTACTCATCCGAACGACCGTCACATTTAGCCCCGAGGTTATTAGTAGATTACCCATGTAATTGAGTTTACGTCCGAATCCAACCAATCTTAAATAAACTTTCTCTTTATAAGTTTGGTGTAGGCATTTCTTAATCCTCATTGTTATTACTTAAAGAGTTATCTACTGTTAATACATGGAGGAACTCCATCGTTAATATAACACATTTTGGGAAATAATGACACTACTAAAGCATTCTAGATAAATGATACGGATTTGAAACAACATTTTTGTCTTCTTGTATTTGTTAAAGTATTTGCCTTTCCTTTTGTAGTACAGTAGAACCTCGATTTTACGTACGGTACGGGACCGGAGGGCGTACGTAAATCGTGGGGATTCGTAAAATAGAGGTTGGGTTAAATTTATGGTAACCTTTGACCTAATATGTACGTAACGCTCAATAAACATATGTATGAACGAACGAACGATGTTACCTAGCCTAGCCTCTAGGCCTACGAATAAAACCATGTGTTTAGTGTTTTTAATATCAATTTACGATGTCATAATAAAGTGTTCAAATAAAACCATGTGTCTAGTTGTATTAATTCATTACTTTATATCTTTTTTTTAACTAAAGAACATGAAAATATTTTAAGATTACCTATACGACAAAGGTATAACTTGGGAGTTCCCCTTCATGCCTATTCTAAACAACAGAGCTGTGGTGTTGTCTAGGCCTGTTGAGACAAACTAAAACCAGGGAGTTGTTATAACAACTCCCTGCTAAAACCATGTGCGCTGCACTGGGCGAGCCAACCATTTAGCGTTCGTGTACGTGAAACAGCAACCATGTGCTATGCACTGGGCGAGCCAACCAATTAGCGTTCATGTACGAAACTATGTCTACACAGATTCGTGTAGACGATTTTGCCACACGAAGCTAGGAGGAAAGCAATTATTTTGAGCACCATCGGTAGTTGTTCATCTCACTCAGTTCACGTGGTTTTAGATTATAACAACCCGATAATATAGACTCAATCAGCGTTGCTGTTTAATGAAAATACGTTGCATTATGGTTTGTTTATTGTCTTTTTACTTATGGTTGCTCTGAAAAGGGCTGTTTGTTTTGAATATTTTCGGGGATTTTTATGACGTCATCGTCGATACGAGGCGTACGTAAAATCGAGGGTTCGTATAACTGGGGTACGTAAAAAATAAAAATTTCCTTTTGTAGTAGGTTATTTTATATTCATTTACTAATATTAATAAACAGAATAATTAATTATTCATATTTTATCAGGTGATTTATGTTCATCTGAAATAACACCGGCATAACAGACTGCTGACGTAAAGATGGCAATATTCACATACAATTTTTTAACTGTTTTTTGCTTGAGTGCTTGTTCTAAATCTCAAATAAAAGTAAAAAGGCCTGGAAAAAGTGTGTTGGGAGCACTGCACATAACTTCGGAAGAATTTGTGCCAAGTAGGACACATCTTAATTTTTTTTTCTTTTTTTGCTACATAAAAGCCATAACTGTTGGACTATATATAGTACAGTATACAGATAGCATTTATTGGTGGAGGCATTTCAACAAAATAATTTTCTTGGTTGGAGGCACAAAATTTTTCCCGAGACAGTAATATATATATATATATGTAATATATACAGTAACATCAGTCAGCAAATTCCTATAACAAAAACTTTTCAATCTGTGGTTACAAGGATCATCCATATATTCCCCATTTTCAAAGAGCCCTTTCCCCTGAAAGAGACAAAAAGTAATAAAATGATTATCGTCATTTTAAAATCATTACTTTTACATAAATGATTATATTTTAGGTCGGGTATACCTTTCTCCAAGACTCTAGGTTGTATGAAGATGGTGAAAAATCTTAATAACTTGTGTTCATTTAGAATATGCTGTTGCATGTCTCAATATAATGTTTCAATCCAGGGAAGCTCAGACTAAAATATTACAATATATTCCCCATCTAGGCAATACAGTCGTTCAGAGAGGCAGAAACGGAAGAGTTTTGCTGTTATTTGTGAGCCGCAGCCCAAAGCTGTTCAAACATAATTGTTTGGTAAGTTAGTACTGGCAACTCTTCTACCTGTGTATAATTATTTTTATTTGACTCACCAACTTAATTACCTTTAATTAAGGCATGTACAGTAATGGCAAAAGAAAAAAAAACCGGAAGCAATTCCATTGCCTGTATTCAGACCTGTATTAACATTAAAGCACTACTCTATTTTTTTTATTATATATCCTAAAGTTTTACAATTTATTGGTTGTAAATTAAAAATATTTTGTTAAAAAAAAAGGACTAATTAAAGTAAATCAATGGAGTAATAAACTTCTCCAAAATCAGTAATAATTAATCATAAAGCATGACTACAGTAAGTTTATTTTTTAAAAAAACCTAGCTCAGACGTTTCTATAAATTTTTTTATTCCCCAGCTGCCCACTTACGTAGATAAAATGTTTGGGAACTAAATATATTGTATATAAAATAGCGTTTCATGTATTTACATAGGAATCACTGATTGCTCTTGGATGCATGTGTGTGGACATATATGCATGTTGTGTAGCATTTAGTTAACATACAGCCCAAAAAAATATGTTCTTATTGTTAACTAGGTTGAAATTAATGGGTGTTTTGTTTTGTTTTTTACTCCAAGTTAAAGGGATGTGACTTGACGGTGGCAGTAACCGACCTTGATCTGTTCAAATTCCAAGCTCAAGGTATATTACGTTTTGGTTTGGACACACTGGATACAGAATGCACAATCACCATTCCTGTAAACAGGTATCATAGATATATGTGGAACGGATAAACATATGTATGAAAATTTGAGAAAGAAAGCTAAAACTATGGAAAATATGGTAATGTTGCCATATACAGTAGTGCTCTGAAATCCTTTACCATCTACACGCAAGCGAACCGCGATTGAAACTCAAGTAACTCACGGTTAATGGGCTATCATCGATTGGTAATACGATAACCTTTAGCAAGAAAACGAGATTCGATACCCAGTCAGGAATTAAGGCATGATGTAAAACGTCTTTTTATTAACTGTGCGAACTACCATGATCCGTTTTTTAAGCGTTACAAAATTCAAATAAAAGGTCGGGTATCAACATACTGTAGTTATGATATACCGTCGGCCTACTTAAACTAAGCATTGGCCAAACAGATTTATATGTATAGGCCTAGTATTATGCTAGTATGGTACAGAATTTTTTTTTTGAATGATAAGAAAGAACACATTTAACATTATCAAACGGAAATGACACTTGACCATATAAAAAAAGAAGAAAACCTCTTATGAAAGTGTACTGAAGTGAGTGTGTAGTAAATTCAATAGGGCTTATAAGATAACTTTTATTCCATTAAAGGGAAACTTTGGAATATATTAGCTGGTGAAATTCGTAATTAAGTTTTTGTCTGTTAATTCTTTTAAAATCAAACTTTTAAATTACTGTATTTCAATAAGTAATTTTAAATAACTTCCATTGAATTGAACATCTTTGTAGTTGGTCGCTTTCTTACTGTTACTGGTAATTGTTCTGTTTATATCTGTACTGTTATGAGCTGGCCAACTTGTATAAATGTCTATCACCTGTTTGGTTTTTCCTTGCCTTGTTTTTTTATTGTTTTGAAATAATGTATATGGTAGAAATTTGAATAAAAATAATATATAAAACTATAGGCTTTACATGAATGCAGTCATTATAGATATTCCTATAAAAAAAGTATAGGATGGATATGCCTATCATTGTTTGTTATTAAATAAGGCACCAAGCGGTACGTACAACATCTGTAAGAAGCAATCAAATCCGTTAAATGGAATATTTTAACATTTTATATTTATCAAGAGTTTGTTACAGCGCGCGGTAAAAACAGTTTGTGAATGGAGTATTTTATTTGCTGTGGTATTTGCACTACACGTTTGTTATGGCCGCCATGGGAATGAAAGTAATTTCGCAGTCATTCATGATTAAGGAAACATATCAATCACTAAGTCGATTTATTTAGAGTGTTAGTCAGTTGTTACAATATTGTCTACCATTGCACCCCAAATTACTGTAAATCTTGTTCAGTACAATCGAGAAGTTCAAAATGAAAGGACATCACTATATCTTCGCGAATGTACTATTTTATTAGCCTAAGGGGTGCAACGCGAGTTTGCATTTTTGACGGAAACATGGATGCAAACTTTTACGTAGAGGAAATTCTTAAAGGCAAACTACTCCCATTTGTGCGCTGTGTATTTCCAGATTCGCACAGATTTCAACAGAACAACGATCCGAAACATACCAGTCGATTAGCAACTAACTACATGATGGAAAAGAACATCAACAGGTGGAAAACACCACCCGAATCCCCGGATCTAAACCCGATTGAGAATGTTTGGCATCAACTTAAGCACCATCTTAGAAGACATGTGAAACCCAGGCTCCAACAAGAACTGGTAGACGGCATTTTAGCTTGGTGGAAGGAAACAGTAACGCCGAAGTTAGTGTACTATTTGAATAAAATTAGGTAGTTTTTTGATGAAAATATGCTGAAAGAAGCTAGCATCATAAAAAGTGATAACATCAAGTTATTCAATTTTATTGTCATTTCTTAAAACCAGATAGAAGAATATTAACTAAAAATATTTCGGGACCAATGAAAAAAAAAATAGGCATATTATATAATTTATTTAGAAAAATGCTGTAGCGTGAAGTGATTGCTAAAATTAGAACACTTTTCATTTTTACAAGGTCTCTGGCGCACGCCGAAAACCGTTTGGTAGGTCTGATAATTTGGGTTGATCACAAAAGCGACCATTAATCATTACGGTTGTTAATGGCAGGTATTGACATTCGGCCTACGATTGTTGTACATCAGTCGATGGAGATAGCAGAAAAAACCCTGTTCTTGTACAGACTTTATCATCATCAATGCTATATTCTATTTATTATGTCAACTATTAGTTCTGTTTTATTTAATTATTATTATTGTTATTATTATCATTACCCTTATTGCTATTAATATAATTGTTATTCATTATTATCATCACCAAGTCTATTATTTTTATTATCATCATTATTGCTGTTGATTAACTTATTATTATTATTATTATTATTATTATTATTATTATTATTATTTAATTATTATTTTATTATTATTATTATTATTATTATTATTATTATTATTATTATTATTATAATCATTATTATTGCATATATTGTTGTTGTTAAGTCTTTTTTTTATTTCAACAATTTATCTATTTTCCCAATTATATGATTACAAAATCTGTTGAATCTTAAAATTAAGATAAAACAAAATTAAATATAGTTTGATCTTAGTAAGCCTATCGTACACTTTAAACATCAAAGTAGTCAGTTATCATCATCCTTTAAAACCAAAGTATTACTGTATTAGAATATTGTTAGTACCTGCATTATGCATTTTATTTAGAAACGTATACTGTTTAAGATTCAATTGACCGCCAAAATGAGGATACCTTTCATTTTTACAAGGTTTCTGGCGCGCGCCGAAAACCGTTTAGTAGGTCAGAAGCTTGGCAGGTTGTCCATAAGGACAGATAATGTGGGTTAAGTTCACACACAGCGATCATTAAATCATTACAGTTGTTGACGGCAGGTTTTGACATTCGGTCTTCAACTTTGTAAATTGGTAAAGGGGGATGCAGTATTGGAATAAAAAAACTATTATATTATCATCATAATTATCGTTATCATTATCACACCACAATTATTATAATAATATTATAAATATTCAACATATAGTTTTGTTATTGAGTATTAATTTATAAACCAAACCAACAAAATTATATAAATAAGTAATATAGTTTAACTTGCTGCATTACAGATTTTGTAAGAACTACAAATTATTATTGGACCAGGCTTGAGAAAAAGACATGATATTAATATCATTTATGTATATAGGGCCGCATTACAAGTAAAATAGGGTAATTTCAGCACCAAGTCCACTAATGTTTGCGGTATATTCTGAAGGCAATTCATATTACATAATCATTTTATGCTAAAAGGCAACTTGTACCGAAAATACAACAGAAAATTTAGAAATTAGAAAATAATAATGTATGTTATTAAAACTATTATATAACATTGTCTTAAAATGTTTTGTTAGTGTACAAAGTCCAGGTAAGCCGTAATAACCTAACAACTTGAATGATAGGCCCTATATTATTTATTGAGAAAACTGAATCCATTATGTTCTAAACAGCTCGCTACGCTTCCCTGCACCAGAATGACCCATTTTCGTTACTGCCTTTCAATCGGCTTCAACCAAGGCGGACCGCTGAGTTACCGTTAATTGCAATGTTTTTCAGCATTCCGCACTGCTTACGTTTCATTCTAAATCTATCGAGCGTGTCCTCGATGAATATTGCCCTCGAATTTTCATCGCGTTTTAATCGCGTGTCAAACGCAGTCGATGGTAAAGAATTTCAGAGCACTACTGTAGAAAGCAATACAGGAAAGTCCAGTTGGCAAGCTCAATTAATCATGAAGTCCAGACAGTATTAAAGAGGAGGCAGAGAGCCTTTAATCATTTTAATTTAGGTCTCATAACCACAGATGTGGACTGCAAAATGTTTTCTTTTGATTTTGCAGAGGGTAAAACATCTGTAAAGTTCTCTTATAACAATGAGAATATTGGTTTTTTAGACTTTATCCTTGTGGAAGAATGGGACAATCCATAGGTTTAAGAATTGTCTCTCATATGTAACTTGTCTGTCTATTCATTTGAATAGAAAGAAATGCTTAGTAGGTTCAGTAGCAGTCGCTACTTATCTTGGGCCTATTATTAGTAACTATCGTCATGAACTGAAATCACATACATGGCTGTTGTAGATAAGTGTATGTCATAGTGCATTATGTTCCAGCAAATACAGAAAGAAGTATTACATTTAATTGTTTGTTTGGATTCTATAAATAAGTTGTTTTTTTTTTAAAGAAAGTTAAAGGACTTGTGAAATATAGCCAGAACAATTTATATAGACAAATTAAACCGTTAGTAATACGTTGAATCTGTTTACTTTAAAGTGCCTCTGCCACCTATTCTGACAATTTCTATAAACTACAGCGTGTTTATATTTATAAATATATTATAAACACAAGTGTTGGTCATAAATTACGAATTAAATTGATTTTGTACTAAAAAAATGAGTTTGAAGTGTCATTTTTGTAAGACCTTAGAAACAACGAGGTCACTCAATGACGTCATTGGTGACTGACAAAATTCATCCAAGCACGAAATCAAAACAAACACTGCGACGGCCTTGCGGAGGAAGAAAAAAGCGAGCATGTTGGTATACGAGAATATTTCAACTCATCCTCATCGTATGAAGAAACAACAGATAAGGAAGACAATGACGTTGGCTGTTGTCCATACCTATTTATATGAGTCTTGGTATGAAAAAGAAAAAAATACAGAAGATGATAATAATATTACGAATCCGAACTTAGAGTTGGCCTAGGCTAGTTGGTGTGGGAGCGAGAGCGAGTCTCTCGTCGTATCGATAGATTGTTTACGTTACTATCTGCTCCATGGTTGTGCAATAATACCAAAAGTAGGAATGAATAACGTATATTATTATTATTAATGATTATTACTTAAAAATGGCATAGGGCCTAAGCCATAATTTTAGAGAGCTTTGATAAATACGGTGTACGTCAGAAAGAAAGCACATAGCTACCACCACATCCACGAACTTTTTCTAGGCCCCAAAATGGGCAGCGGACTGGGCTTGAATTGGTGTGCACCGGATCTATAAATGGGCGTTTCAGTCCATGCATCCTGTTTATTTAGAGATAATTACAGACGTGTTTGTTGAGAGACAAGTGCGTAAGTCAAAAGTAGTAAATAGGGCAATAATATTAATTATTTATTATTACTGATGGTGATAGATGTTGTTGCACTGAATAGTACTACAATATTTTATTATTATTTAATACTAGGCCAGGTGCGTTTGTACCCGTCATCAACAATTGAAAAATCAATCCGTCAAAAGAATCCAAGCACTGACAATGAGAAACTAGTCATTGTAGCAAAAATGGAAAAGATCGACATGGCAGGCCAATGTATCACTACTATCCACCCTGGGTTTCAAGCATTTGTTTATCATCAGTGTGTGCTCCATTTCTAATACCGATCAAGTAATATGGTGCCAGGGGTAATTCCACATTCGTTACAACAACATTCGACACAAGTTGGAAAATGAAAGGAAATAAAAATATTGTATGTTAATATTAATAGATATGTGAAATTTTAATAATAATAATACAGTAATACTGTATTATAGGACTAGGCCTAGGCTAGGAGGAGGTAGGCCACACTTAATAATAACTTATAAGGTGGCCTTTTGCGAGAAAATAAAAAAGGTACAGTAAACGAGGTGAATTCTCAATGAATTACAGTCGAGTTCGCCTAAGTCAAATCTAATGGGACTGGCATAAAAAGTTCGAGTTATACAGATTTCGACTTGCACATTTTCGAAAAAAAAAATTAACATAGAACAATACTATTTGCACTCAATGCCCACAAAATCGAATTTCACGCAAAACTGAACATTTTCTTAAGTCCTAAAGTCATTCCTATTCTTCTTTTAATAAAATACTTTCCGAAAAAATGAACTCCCTATTCTAAATCTCGGACGATTTGTCCAATTTAGGACGGTAACACTCACTCGAAAAACCAGACGATAGTTTAATAGACATCTTTCAACGACAAGCATACCAGACGCTGTGGAAACGAGACGCTTAGCTGTAATTCGCATTGCTATGGAGATTATCTGTTGATTAATACGACACACTAGTAGACGTTTTGTTGGTTAATTATGAAGTGAAAATTTACGCATTCCAATGTTTTAATAAGCGTATATTCTTGCTTTTAATCCTTAAAAACCATTTGGAATCAACCTGCAATAAAGACGTAACTCAACAAAGCAAGTTTCTACTGGTTATTCTTTTCAGTAGACGTCTACTGGGTAATTCAAATTTGTTAGATTCGTCGGTGTAAATTTCAAATGCACCTCATTCATTCTTTAAAC